AACAATTAGTTTTAATTACACATTTCATAGGATTCAAGAATTTTAAATCATACATTTCATCAATTTTTATCAATATTTACTAAAAATCTGAATTTAATCATCCACCAAACATGGGCTATTGTCAAACATAATACAAGTAATTAAGGGTTCATTTGGTAGGACTTTTATTTTTACTTCTATTTTTTTCGCAGTAGAGCTACTTAAAAAAGTTATTTTATGCTAACTTTCTTGAAAAGTTCTTATTATCAAATAAAGTGCTTACAAAAATGTATTCAATCACGTTCAAAACAATTCCCGATAAATCCATTACTTACTCCATATCGTTTCTCAAACTAAGAAGGATCACACGCTACATCAACGTTCAACACTTCCACTACATTTTGGACCACGGTCTCACATGGGTATAGCTGCTTTCTGAGAGCAACTATTGAATTTTTTGACCATCACAAACCAATTATTTGTTCAACTTGAAATTTATCGGTGCGTTCACATGGCTAAGTTTAGGTCTTAACTCTTTACATCACTTGTACAGATTTTGACACTTTTTCAATAACGTGGTGAATAGAATTTATGAAATTAAAGACTAGATACATGTAATGCTTGTCTATTTTACTATTTATATACATTTGAAGTGTAGTTCTAGCCAATGCAATAAATAAAATTCTAATCTAACTTGAGTATGATGTTTGAAAAATGGGTGAGTGTAGCATCGTAGTTGACTTGACGCCCGACGGTTGAGTACCGAGTGCATGACGGAATATATAGCCGGTCACTTTTTCAACGGTTGAGATTGTCCCACTTCAGCCAGTTCATAGTTTATACACAAACTTCTTCACTTCCGTGAGCAGAGGTTACAGAGAATCTCTTTCATATACCCTGCCCCCCACTAAACCTCCCTATATATATGGGATGGAGGGAGTACCAATTATTTTCATGAAAAGGGTGACTTGCTATAGCCGATCACTTTTTCAACGGTTGAGATTGTCCCACTTCAACCAGTTCATAGTTTATACACAAACTTCTTCACTTCCGTGAGTAGAGGTTACAGAGAATCTCTTTCATATACCCCGCCCCCACTAAACCCCCTCTTCCACTCTATCGCTAGTCTCTACATTAGGGTTTACTTTGTTGAGGTACGCTACCGTTTTCATTTTGAATTTTCCCCCTTTCAGTTCAAAATGCAATAGTTTTGTGTTTAAAGTGAAATGATATTTTCTTTAAACAAGAAGAACTACTGCTTATGTGATGCCAACTTTAATGTACAAAGTTTTCTTCCTCTTTTAGTGTAGGAATCGTCACTATGTTTTTCAAGGCACCCTTATTCATTTCAAGTTATTAATTTCCAATTTCTATTAATGTATTGAAGTTTGTTGAAAAAGCTATTGCACAATTAAAACTCCTATCTTTATGATTCAAAATATAGCTGTTATCATGGATTTGGTGGGTAGAAAAATTTTGTTCAAGGACTTTGATGTTTTTCGTCTTTTATTTTGTGGCTTCAAGAGTATAATTTGAACTATATTTTGGTAGTTGACTAGAGTTTGGTAGTGTTTCTCGTTAACTAGATTGAAATCGAAATGGATCCATTTTTTCGTGAATTTTCAAGTTCTTCAAATGGAATTCAATTGAAAAATCAATCCACCGTCGAGTTGTCCGACCAAAAAGTTGCCAATGGACCTAGATTTGAGTTTACTTATCCAGATCAGAAGCTAGTCAATGAACAAAGGTTTCAGAATACCTTACCAGCACAAAAATTTGAAGGCTTCCAAATGATTGGAAATGAGCCTTTTACGAGCAGTGTAGTCTCGTGTTCTAGTTTGGGCATTGAGGACGATTATGAAGAAGACTGTGATTTTTCGGACGCTGTTTTAAGATGCATAGATCAGATGCTTATGGAAGAAGATATGGAGGAAAAGACTCATATGCTTCAAGAGTCTTTAGATCTTCAAGCAAAAGAAAAGTCATTCTATGACATTCTTGGCAAGAAATACCCCCCTTCACCGGTACAAAACCCGACTTTAATTAGTCAATGTGGTGAGAACCCAGACGATTACTTTCCAGGAAATCGCCATCATAATTGTTTAAGTTGCAATGGTTATGGAAGTGGTTACCTAATTGATGTAATTGGTCCGAAGTGGATAAACAATTGTATTGATTGTAATGCATGTCATGCTCAGCTATATACAGCATATAGTGGTTCCAATTCATCAATTAGATGGTCGAATAGCTTAAACAATATTGTAGACAGGTTTTCAGACTCTCCTGTAAGTCCTCTTCAGGTATCTGATATGTATAATGAGAGTCGATGTGTGTGGGATTTCAAGAAGGGGGCTGAAGATGCAAGCAAATTCCTTCCAAGTGGGAATAGGGTGTTGATTAATACAGACATTAATGGTTTGTTAACTCGGGAGCCGAATGGAGAATATGATGGAGGAGTAGTTACAGTGGAGAAGAAAGATGGGGACCCACAATCAGCATCTGAGTCGAGGGGCAGGAAGAATCCACATAGTGGAGAAACGGATTTAGAAGAAGAAAAAAGTAACAAGCAGGCAGCAATCTATTCAGAATCTACTATTCGATCAGATGAATTCGATATTGTCTTGCTTCATAGCATGGGGGATGGTGAGGTTAGATTGACAGCTTACAGGACGGAGTTGCGAAATGCTATGAGTAAGTGTGTGCAGCAGAATGGACAAATGAAAAGATCAAGTGGAGTGAAGGGCCGCGGCAAAAAACAGAATAGTAAAAAGGAAGTCGTGGATTTGAGAACCCTTTTAATTAATTGTGCGCAGGCTGTTGCTGCTGATGATCGTCAGAGTGCTAATGAACTGCTGAAACAGATCAGGCAGCACTCGTCACCTTTCGGGGATGGAAATCAGAGATTGGCTCACTGCTTTGCTGGTGGCCTTGAAGCGCGCTTAGCTGGCACTGGTAGCCAGATCTATAGGGCCCTTGTCAACAAAAGAACAACTGCGGCTGATTATTTGAAAGCTTACCATTTATATATTGCGTCGTCTCCATTCAAGAGGATTTCAAATTTTACCTCGAACAAGACAATTATGATCAAAGCACAAAATGCAATGAAAGTTCACGTTATAGATTTTGGCATCCTCTATGGTTTTCAGTGGCCCACATTCATGCAACGGATGGCTAGAAGAGGTGGACCTCCAAGAGTTCGGATTACTGGCATCGAGTTTCCCCAACCTGGGTTCCGTCCAGCAGAAAGAATAGAGGAGACTGGTCGTCGATTGGCAGATTATGCAAAGACTTTCAACGTACCATTTGAGTACAATGCCATTGCACAGAAGTGGGAAACCATCAAAATTGAGGAACTTAAGATAGAGAAAGATGAGTTTCTTGTTGTGAATTGTTTGTATCGGACGAAGAACTTATTTGATGAGACTGTAATGGCAGAGAGTTCAAGAACTGCTGTTCTGAACTTGATTAGGAAGATTAATCCGGACATCTTCATTCACGGGATTGTAAATGGGGGCTACGGTGCCCCATTCTTCGTCACTAGGTTCCGGGAGGCTTTGTTTCACTTCTCAGCGCTATTCGATATGCTTGAAACTAATGTACCTCGTGAGAAAACTGAAAGAATGTTAATTGAGAGAGAAATCTTTGGCTGGGAAGCATTGAATGTCATAGCTTGTGAGGGTTGGGAGAGAGTCGAAAGGCCAGAGACTTACAAGCAATGGCAAGTCCGTGACTTGAACGCAGGCTTCTTGCAAGTCCCTTTTGAAAGGGAGGTCATGAATAAGGCAATAAATAAGGTAAGATCAAGCTATCACAAAGACTATGTTATTGATGAAGACAGTCAGTGGATGTTGCTGGGATGGAAAGGGCGGATAATCTATGCTCTATCTTGTTGGAAACCTGTTTGAGAAACTAATAACATGTCCGCTATGCAGTACGGGACATTATTGAATGGAATTAAGGAACAAAAATAAGTTATATTTTTTGATATATTGTAATGTTGAGTACTGCGATCTCACTTCCTTCTTGAATGGAAAGGCCAGATATCGTTCCATCAGCAACTCCAAAGCAAGTGCACGTTGGTTCGTGTAAGTATTTAGTCTTTTTTTTTTTGGGTTCTATGTAACTTACACGAGGAAAATCCATATTACATTTGAGTTAGCCAAGACGTAGTGTTGATCCACCTGGGTTTCCCTTCATCAAGACCTCTGCCTAATTTGAACTTCCTTGTACTGGGTTTAAATAATATGATACATAATGCTCTCAATCATCGAGATCTTTGCCTAATTTAGATCTTTAATAACTGAAAATTATAAGAATAATGCCATTTGCAGTCACTCTACGTGGCATGTATGGCGGTTAGTGATTTGATACATAAAGTAATAAAAAACTACAACGTTAATGCATCAAATCACTAACAGCCACATGTAGCCACGAAGAGCGAATATGGCAGTGAATGACTGCAAATAACATTGCTCAAATTATAAACATATATTTTTGATTTGTAGGAGAATTGTTGGGGTAGCTAAAAGATTTGGAATCGAGCTAAAAAATAGCACATTGCGAATTGAAACCCCTAAACTTTGCCAAGAATCTTCTAAAGGAGAGAAGAAATTTCGAAAGCACAAGTAAAGTTGTTTCCGCTGTTGAACACCTCGATTCACTTAGTTATCTATAAAATTTTCAACTATACAAATTTTAGGATGTTTAAACATGTTGGTTTGAGGAATATTTTGCAATAATTGTAATGTCTGAAATTTATAATAGAGTAACTTACAAAGACAATACTAATTCGAATGAAAGTAATCATTATGAATACAGTGATAATTTATGATATCTCAACAATATTAAGAATTGATAGTGATGGTTGGATCAAAATTGAAATTAAAAATTTCGACTTCGTTGAACGATAGTATTCTTGACCCAAAGATGTGATCCAGCAAAATCGATTATCAGATTCTTCGAAAATACTTTAAAAAAACACAAGAAATATCATTCCCAACGAAGTGGATTTCCATTCACCAATGATGTCCACAGTTGACATCAAACTTTGTATTGAACATAATGCTGGGTGTCTACTCAACACAGTCAAGGGAGCTTATGCATCATAAACAGACAAAAAAACCCAATCTTGTCATGTAAATAAGAAGTGCGTTTTGTCTTGTTCTAGCATTTGCAAAGTTATTTCAACGAGCAGACAATTGGAAACAGATAATTATTGAGCTTATTAATCAGAATCGAGTACTGATCTGGGAAAACAGAGCCTTGAAATCCTTAGTCAGCGTGCCAGTTCCCTCGGGTTTTGAGGCCAAGTCAATTGCTTTGAATTTTGCTTCTTCAAAGTTTAGTGCCTGTTTGTGAGATTTTATTAGAACAATATTTTAAAACCACTGAGAAACCAAGATAATACTGTGCAGATAGAAGACTTCACATTCTGGGTGAACCACAATATATTGGTGCCTAAATTGCTTCTTTTCAGATTATTATAGCTCCCAGTAGCAGAAATTATGGTTTAATCGACAACATAAAGTTCTACAAGTAAATTACCTGAATGCAGACTTCTGCTACATCGGCTCTGGCAACAGTCCTCGTTTCTGTCTGAAAAAGTTCATCATCCTTTCCAACAAGTCTCTTGCAAACCTCCAGCCCTACACCACCAAAGAAATGAGAGGTAATTTCCAAATTATGCACAACCTGAACGAAAAATGTTGACAGCATGTATTCTCAGCAAGTTTGCATCGAGTATATGACTAAAGTATATACTGGACTGTAGAGCTTAATTATCCAGATCACATATCACTTTGTCCATGGATTGACCTAGTATAGGGTTATATTGGACATTCCAAATTTTGTATTAGGTCGCCTTAATATCCTATATTACATGAGGAATCCGGGGGGCCATTTTTCTTTATGAGAAGACAGATATATGAGGAAAATTTTAAAATCTCTTTCTTCATCGTAGTGAAAATCAGCAGCAGTAAGCGACAATGAACCACCATATATCAGTGGTTTTTTTGTCATTATTCCTCTAGATATTAACAGTAGGGCTTACTCGTTGATAGTATCAACATCTGAGTTTGAAGCCCAAGGTATTCACAGTTGATTATAATGGGATTATGAGCTAACAACATCTGTTTTCCAAGTTTTCTTAGATAACCTCAAAATTGCTTAACTCAATGTTTCGAAAATTTGTGAGGTTATCAAAGGATACAAAACAACTGCCAAATGTAAATTACCGTGGATCCTACTACACAGTTGCTAATAAATACCGTGATGGTTTGGTCACATAGACCGATTTGTGATTTTTCACTTGCATGCACAGAGATCTATCATATTATTTTTTGTTTGTTAATTGTTATGATGATAGCATGAATATCTCAAGTATCGCCAGGACTAGAAGAAAGAAATTGATCTTCTATTCAAATTTTATTTTATTAATAGACTACGACCCAATTTTTTTACTATCAAATCCTAAAGCACCAGGCGATTTTGTATGTTATCTATAGAAAAATGCTACACGTACAGGATTTAAATCTTGTACTTGCCAGATAACTCACAACATAGGTGGGTGGGGT